TTAGCCATTACCATCTTTTCTCACTCCATTTTGCTGAGCAGTGCAGACTGGAGTTGGCTCTGTTACTCACACTGCAGGAGAGAAAGCCACACACCAGACAATCCATGTGGCTGACAGCATGGCTGAAAGTGAAGGTGGGAAACCAGGAAAGGGAAACAGGAAAGGAAGTCGTGTTTGTTTCCTGATGCTATTAAATCTAGTCTCGGATCTAAAGGGGCAGGTGGCCTAGGAGGTGGACTACAGTTTACTGTAAAAATCTTCTTGAAATATTATTGTCTTAGGAGCAATGTATAAATACATAGTGGTCACTGCTTCAAAATAGCTAATTATCAGCCTGATTAGGAATTTTCTATTTTGTTAATTAGCTCAGAATTGTGATGAGGTCTCAAGGTGTTTGAGAAAAGGAGAGTGGCTGATAATAGGAGACTGGGTATCAGGTTGCAGAAGCATGCATGCAAGTACAGTTGTGACAAGTTATTTCCAACCCTCTCTAGCTCTCTAGAAGAGGTGATGCTATTATAGAATAACATGTGCAAACACTTTTATTCAGAGTGATATATTCCAGTGTGAGCTCTCATGTAGTGCAGAGTTTTATGCCTTTTTTTCTTGCTGGTTTGATGATATGAAAACTGTTCCTAATACAATTGAAAAGTGTTCTTGAGCTCACCAAAGTAAAGGTCTGTTCTTTTGTATCCAAGAATTCGTAAGCCAACAATTTGTGAGAGTAAGTGTAGACTGGCTCTCAAATTTTTGCATCCCCAAACTTTCCATTTCTTGTTTAAGACCTCTAAGAAGAATAACTGACCAGAGTGATAGGTATTTTTTTATGTGCTTGAAAGGAAGATATACAGCAACTTCATCACTTACAAAGGTAGTGAAAAGAGCCTCTGTCTAAGCCTTAATGGATGTCTATGAATGTATATGCAGATACAGTTTCTAGTCTGTGATGTTTGAGGGCATTTGTAAATTCAACATTCTTAAATTCAGTTGCCATGGTAGATTGGGTTGGTGGAGCATAACTGTCTTTAAAGATGACATGGATGGGCACTCTCTGGCAATGTCCAAAAGCCCCTTTTGATTTAGGACAGAACAAAGTTTAAGGAGGAAGATATATACATTTAAATTAAGACCAGGGACAGGCAAGCTCGCATAAGGAAATATGCAAATGGTGGGAATGGTGTGGTGTGTTGATATTAAGGCTAGTTAGAGGGTTTAGTTTATGGAATTTATCTGCAGGATGAAATTTCTAATTATGTTACTTCTTTTTATCTTAATATGTGTGACATCATTTTTGGAGGTGTTTAAAATATTAGATTTCAGTGCTAAAATTAACTTTAAGAATAGACCTTCTCAAACACTTTCTGCTAGTCATCTCTTATTTTCTAGTGGAAGTTCCTCTAGAGACTAATTTGCCTTAGGTTAGATAACTATTTTGTTAGAACTTGGACTGAATCAGACCTGACTTCCAAACAAGGGCTCTTTTCCAATATGCCAAGTTGCTTCAAATTAAAAGAGGAAAAGAATAACTCAACATCTCAAAAATGAATAATCCAATTAAAAATGGGCAGAAGACATGAATAGACATTTTTCCAAAGAAGACATTACAGATGGCCAACAGACACATGAAAAGATGCTCAACATCACTTATCCTCAGGAAAATGCAAATCAAAACTACAGTGAGATATCACCTCACACCTGTCAGAATGGCTAAAATCAATAACACGAGAAACAAAAGGTGTTGGCGAAAATGTGGAAAAGGGGAAAACTTTTGCACTGTTGGTGGGAGTGCAAACTGGTGCAGCCACTGTAGAAAACAGTATGGAGGTTCCTCAAAAAATTAAAAATAAAACTATTCTATGATCCAGCAATCACACTAGATACTTACTACCCAAAAATACAAAAATATTGATTCATAGGGATACATGCACCCTGATGACTATAGCAACATTATCTACAATAGCCAAATTATGGAAACAGCCCAAGTGTCCATTGACTGATTAATGGATAAAGAAGAGGTGGTACATATATACAATGGAATATTATGAGCCATAAAAAGAATAAAATCTTGTCATTTGCAATGACATGGATGGAACTAGAGAGTATAATGATAAGTGACATAAGTCATTCAGAGAAAGACAAATACCATATGATTTCACTTATATGTGGAATTCAAGAAACAAAACAAACAAGTAAAGGAAAAGAAAAAAGAGAGAAAGAGAGAGGCAAACCAAGAACCATACTCAACTATAGAGAATACACTGATGGTTACCAGAAGGGTAGGGGCTGGGGGTATGGGTTAAATAGGAGATGGGGATTAAAAAAATAAAGAGAAAAAGAAAATACAAGGAGAAATATGTTTTTATTATCTTTTATTAATACAGATTAAATAATAGTATTTGTTTTCCTCCTTTTTGTATAGCAAGCATGCATGTATTGGTAAGTGGAGATTATTTTCCCAGTTTGAGGTAAATAAAATGGGGATATTAGCAAAAGGAAACAGAAAAAAATTATTTACAGTAAATCTTAACCAGTTGCACCAACACTGGATCTATTTTTTCCTAGTCTGATGTAGAAAACGCCCATAAGTACTCAGTGTTTACTTGTTTAGTGAATGAATAAATTAAATCAAACATTCCTTTGGGACCTATTATATGCCAGGCTTGCTGAATGTTATATCTAGTCCTTGAGATTCAACTCCTTTCCCACTTCTCTTCAAAAGCTTTTGAAATCCTTTAATAAAAAGTCTTCTTCCTTTATTGTATCTATAGCTCATATTATTTGCTTATATATATTTTTAAAGATTTTATTTATTTATTTGAGAGAGAAAGTATGAGAGAGAGCAAGCACATGAGAGGGGGGAGGGTCAGAGGGAGAAGCAGACTCCCTGCTGAGCAGGGAGCCCGATGCGGGACTCCATCCAGGGACTCCAGGATCATGACCTGAGCCGAAGGCAGTCGCTTAACCAACTGAGCCACCCAGACGCCCCAATTTGCTTATATTTTTACATCTAGCAATTCTTTTTTTAATTTAATTTACTATTTATTTATTTATTTATTTATTTATAAATTTAATTTTATTATGTTATGTTAATCACCATACATTACATCATTAGTTTTCGATGTAGTGTTCCATGATTCATTGTTTGCGTATAACACCCAGTGCTCCATTCAATAAGTGCCCTCCTTAATACCCATCACCAGGCTAACCCATTCCCCCACTCCCTCCCCTCTAAAACCCTCAGTTTGTTTCTCAGAGTCCATAGTCTCTCATGGTTCATCTCCCCCTCCGATTTCCCCCTTTCATTTTTCCCTTCCTACTATCTTCTCTCTCTTTTTTTTAACATATAATGTATTATTTGTTTCATAGGTACAGGTCTGTGATTCATCAGTCTTACACAATTCACAGTGACAACTAGCAAGTCTTTACAATTATTTAATTACATGACTATAAGTAACTGCTACTGTTTTGCATGTTACAGATTCCCTTAGGAAAGTTTTAAACTTATCAGCAAATTAATAAATTTTTTTGAGATTAAAATTTTGTTAAATTTTTTTTTCCAAATAATCACAGGTCTCAAGTATAGTAGGACTAATGTAAACCTTTATTCTTTACAGTAGGTAAATTGAGCTCCAAATATTTAGATGGAACCATATAAATTATTGAGCATTTTATATGATAAACCTAATGTTTACTGCCTAATAAAGATAACACATGATATAAAGACAGAAAACTGGGAGCCAAGACACAGTAGTAAAAATATGGGAAAAATCAGGAAGCATTAAAACACTGTGATGATTATTTCTCACTTTCATATTTGTGTTTTAGCAGATCTTATTCTAGTCGGTTTGAAAGGTTCATATTAAATTAAATTAAATCATCTTGAAGTACGAGGAATAAAAGCCCCCACACAGTCTTGAGAGGAGAAGATATGGAGAAGGGATTTGGCTTTTGTAGTAGATTTTCAAATATTTGAAAAAAATTTCATTTGGAAATGGGTTTCCTTTTGGTCCATGTTGTCCTCCTGGGAACCACTGGATTGAAGTTCTAAGGGAGTAGAAATCTACTTTACATGAGGAAAACAGTTTAATAATTAGCAAATTGAATGTTGTTTCTTGGAGTTAAATGAGCTCTTAATTTGGATCTATTTCAGCAGAAACTTATTGACAATTTGCTGAGAGCTGATAAGAAATGAAAAGATTTGTGTATTGTGAAGGAGATTGAACCAGTAAATTCTTTTATTTTTATTTTTTTAAAGATTTTATTTATTTATCTGAGAGAGAGAGAATGAGAGGGGGGAGGGTCAGAGGGAGAAGCAGACTCCCTGCCGAGCAGGGAGCTCAATGGGGGACTCGATCCAGGGACTCCAGGATCATGACCTGAGCCGAAGGCAGTCGCTTAACCAACTGAGCCACCCAGGCGCCCTGAACCAGTAAATTCTAAATTCTCTTTATAATTCTAAGAAATTTTGAATCTCTTCTTGAGATCTAATTGACCTTTGATATGACTTCTTGCTGCCATTTTGAATAATAAATGAGAAAAAAGATCTGCAGTTTGTTATTAGTTAGGTGTCCAAAACACTAAATATTACCCAACCAATACAACTGACCTTTGCATTTTTCCTTTATTATGTAATTGGTGTTACTTTAGGGTATGCTTTTACAGGTCATAGATCAATAAGAATCTATGAATATACAATGTTCATATTTTAAAGGATCATGTCATTATAGCAGCATGCTTGGGAAAATAGTTCCTGGGATGTCTAAAATTTATATTGGGTTGTAAAACTGAGGTATGGGCCAAGGGTTAACAGCCTTGAATTTTGCCCTTAAAATTAGTCACAGAAAATCTACTTCATTATAAATACATTACTACTGAGTAGTGTCCTTCTGATTGATATGGCCAGAGCTACCTTTTTCAGCAGTCTTTTAAGCACCAATCCTTCATTTTGGTTCTAAAAATGAGATGGGCTCCTCCTCCCTAATTGGGACGTCAATTTTTACCTGCCAATACAGTTTGATGAGCTTGCTTATATACTGTTCACTTCCTCCACAGAGCCAGAACATGTAGTCAGCAATCATGGCACTCCTAAGAACAAGGACAATTAAAAAAAAAAACAAACCACAAATTTATAGGGCAGAAGGAAAACCATAACAAGTAGTATATATAAATACTGAGGAAGAAGATTTTGTCATATATAAATTTGAATAGATTAATATTAAGCAAAGCCCATGCACATTTTAGACTGTAGAAAGTAGGGTTGTTTTTGTCTTCTGTTGTTTTTCTTTTAATCTAAACTAAAACTCTAAAAGAAGCAATCAGCCATTTGTCTCCTAGATGTTTTTTTTCTGTTTGTACAGTGTAAGAATACTTAAAGACTATGAAGGAATGCATTGTTTTGGTTGCCCCTTATTAAGCTTCAGAGCATTTATAGAGCAACATATATTTTATGAACTCCAAAATGCCTTCAAACCTAGCATAGCCTATATAACTAACTATTGTACTATTACTTAAGCATATCTCAGACTTTACCTGAATTGAAGATTATTCACCTCTGATTAAATTGGCCTCCTTAAGAGTAAAAATAAAAAATTTCTAATTCAACACTCCCCTCCCCTAACTTCTGTGTTTAGTTGAACTGGTTTTGGTATCTAGTGTGTACAACCACTGAATTAGTCTTATTAAGCTAAGAGGATGTTAAAAACTATTGTGCAATTGGTATTAATTCATTGCTTAGCACCCTTTGGAAAAACAGTTTACTTTTATGACTGTTTCTGCTAGGCCTCCCTATTTCTTTTCTCCAGAGATTCCAAATCCAAATAAATGTGACTAGAAGTAATTCCAAACTGTCACGTTAGCCAATTAAACATACAATAATCCTGTGTACCTAATCAGTGGTACCAAGAGTTTATTTGTTTAAGTAGGGCTCTCATGGCGTACCCCTGGATGTTTTTCTTATCTTTGCCTGCAGATATGTGTTGTTTCTTGACACCACTGTGAATTGAATTAGGAAGTTTCCTTCCCTAAATATAGGTTGTCTAAGGCACGGCAGCTGAAAACTTACTATGGTACTCTGTCGGAAGAATTAGAATGTTTCGTTCTTGTTCAGAACTGACAGAAATTAGGACTTTAAAAAATAACAATGAAAAAAAAATACCATCATTTGGAGGGTTATTCAGCTCAGTTTATTTTTTTACACATGTGGTATTGGAAAGGAGCTATCCACTGACATTGAAAATAAATGACAATAATTTAGAAATAACTAATCTTCTAAGAATCCTTTTATATTTTTCAAAGCCCTAGTTTACTGATAAAATAAAGTGAGCTAGGAAGTTTTGATGTTGTGTGAATATGTAAAAAGTAGAAAAAAGTTATAAAGATTACAGACGAGAGGGGGCAAAAGTGAATTTCAAAATTTGCATTTGATAGAAACACTGGGAAAAATTTTCCTCTCATGACTACCTAAAAAGGAAGTCTACTTAAGTACCTGTCACCTAATAGAAATCCATTTAATAAATTCTGAATTTAGGAAATCAATGAAAAATGTAAAAAATCTCATTCTCAAAGACAGCACACACGTATTTATAGAAGTTGGGTACTCTTAGGTGACGACTTGATTCTGCATTCTGATTCCTCCTTCCATTACCATTTGGAAGTGTAGATATGGCTCAACAAACATTGTCTAATGAGGAGACCAGCCATTAGTTAAACCAGGGGTGGGTAAAATTTTCCTGTAAAGGGTCAGATAGTAAATATTTTAGGCTTTGTGAGCCATGTGGTAACTTTGCCTTATGGAAGGACCTATGGACAATAAGTAAACAAATGAGTGGGGTTGTGTTCCATAAGACTTTATTTCCAAAAATACATGGTATGCCGGATTTGGTATAGTTCGTCTAACTCTAAGATAAATTACGAGGTTGAACAACAGGTGACAAGAATTGATATAATTGTCAGTCAGCAGTTAGGCACCAGCTTCTATATGTTCTGGCCACAGCCTCCCTTAAAGATTTCAGGCTACAGTTTTCTCTTTAGAGACAACGTATACACTGTACTAAGATTACTGTGCAGAGTTCAAGAAAGAAATTTTACAACTTTGAAACATGCAAAAAATGTAAACGATAATCCTGGATGGTAGGCACAGAGGCTTGAGTTAAGTAAAAGCTAAATTGATAGTTTCTATCATGTTAATGATCATCATTCTTAGACTGGAACAATTGGGAGGGAAAAAGAGAGATCATGACAGTGGGTTTCTAGAGCTTTCCTGCATTTTTAATGCTTTTGGTGATTTGGTTTTGAGTTCACCATTGTAAAATTAAAAGTTTTAGTATTTTTATTAATGCTTTCCAAAAGTTGCTCTTTCTGTAATGATGTGTTGTCAAATTGATTTTATTATGCCTGGGGGCTCAAGTCTTTTCCCAAAGGAACATATCTCTAAATTTATATTGAAACAAGTGAAGAATTAAGATTCATTGAAATTTATTACCTGACCTCAGCGAAGCACAATTACTATAATAGTAAAAAGATACTAGTATTAAATAACAAAGAATGGTTTCAGAAAGCTACATGTTTGCTAATATACTTTTCATAAGTATAACTTGTTTCTCTTAATGTTAGAACACAATTTATATTGTAGTTGCTTCAACCCCATTTTCTTCCCAGTGGAAGTGGCAGTTATGTTTTCACTACCCACCTTCGTCTGGTTCCCTATCATAACTCTGCCCTACAGCTTAGCCTTTATAAATCAGTATAAAATTCAGTGGAAGAACATGAAAAGAGCATGGAAATAACATTATACCATGCAGTATTTGTGAGGCAAGAGATAGGGGTTTTTCATCTTGCTGAATTTATAAAGGGCAAAGATAATCAACTCAGAGCATCTACAAGGAGTCCAGTACCTTGTGGGATCCTGGTTCTGGCAGACTCACCTGATGAATCGAATGTAAAGAGCACCATCATTCTTCCTACTTTCCTTTAGGTATCTCTGTTTACCTTTAGACCAATCTCCTGGAGGCTAGTCTGTGTGATTCAATGTTGCTTCTAAATGTCTTTGTTTCATTGTCATTATTGTATTCAACATACTTTCACTAACCTACTGAATACTGTAGCTGCACTGGAACTGGAGGATCATTTTAGCCAACCCCTTTTAAGTCACAGAGGGTGGCTTCATATCTGTCCCTTTTGAGCCTTTACTAGTGCTAAGCACCAGGTTAAGCATTTTACATAGCAGAGTATGAACCTGATCCCCCCCCCCCCCCACTTCGGCATCAGATCTCATCCCACCCATGGAACTGCTCCAGTAATTCATTCTCTCTCTCTCTCTCGTTTATTTTCTTTTCCCTTTTTCATTTTTTCCCTTTTCTCCTGGAGCTTTTCTACCAGCACACAGAAATGCTGTTGTTTCTGCCATCTTAAAACAAAACACCTCCAAAGCCTCTCTTGATCTGCTTCCCTTCCAGTTATCATTTTCTTTCCTTCTACACAAACAACAAGCAACAACAACAAACCCACAGAAACTCCCTGAAAAAGCTGTGTGTGCTCCCTATCTCTAATTTCTCTCTTCCTTCTCTCTCCTAAACTCACTCCAGCAAGGCTCCAATTCCTACTACTTCACTGAAACTTATTTTGTCAATGCTACTAATGGTGTCCATGCAGCTAAAACAAACAATGGTTTAATTCTCAGTCTTCATTTTGCATGCACTCTCAGGTGCACGTGAGGCAACTGCTTGTTCCCTCGTCCAGTATATACTTTCCCACTTGGGTCCCACAACTCTGCTCTTTCCAGTTTCCCTCAATCTTACTGGTTGCTCTTCTCAGCCTCCTTTTCTGGTATCTTCTCCTCTCCCTGGATTCCTACCACATGGGCACAATGTTTGGGCCCCTTCTCTTTCTTTCTATATGCAATCCCTTGGTGATCTCACCAGTTTCGTGGTTTTAAATACAGTCTATGGATTGACAACCCTTACATTTATATCCTGAACTTAAACCTCTTTTTGGATCCTGAGACTTGTAGAAATTGTCTTCTTCACATCTCGACTTGGATACCCAATAGGTATTCCGAACTTAATATTTCTATACCCGAGAATCTAACCCTCCTTACTCTCCCTCCATCCAGTTTCTCAGGCAAAAAAATTAAAATTAGTGCTCCTGAGCAGGTCACTACTGTGCTTAAAACTGCAAAGGCTCCTTATCTTGCTTAGAGTAAACACCAGTTTTTAAAATGGCGTTTGAACCCCCTGTCATCTGGTCTCTGATCTCATTTCTGATTTACTCTGCTCCAGAAAAGTTGTTTACTCTGCTGTGGCTCAAAAAGAACACGTACACTATTGCCTCTGGGATTTTGCTTTTGACAGTCCCTGTTCCGGGATGTTCTTTCTCTAGATACCCCCTGACCTCCTTGTTCATCTACTTTAGGTCTTTATCAGATGTTATTTTCTCAGTGAGGACTACCCTGACCACATTCCAGTACTATCCATACCAAAGCCTAAAATATTTACTCTCTGGGTCTTTCCTGGAAGGCAAGCTTCCTGAGGGCCAGGAGTTTTGTCTGTTTTATTCACTGCTCTATCCCCAGTGCCTAGAACAGTCTTGGTGTGGTGGTCACAAAAGAAATATTTGTTGAATTAATGACTACACATTATCTAATTTTTTAAAGTCAAAAAAATTTAAATTCTTATTACAAAAACCTGAGGGCTATAGAGTTACGTAACTTACTAGGATTCTGCCAGAAGGAGTCTGGCCCTGGATTACCTCACTGCTCATATTTAACAATGTTTTTGTTCTGGAAGTGGCATGGGAATGGAGTGACAGGGTGGGCTGGCCCAATGTAGAATCCAACATTTAGCTCACAGGAGAGTTTAATAAATGCTAATGGATGCTGATGTATTTTTTTAATGTAAATTAAAGAGGAAAGGTACCAGGAAGCACATTAGCCTATTATGTTGTATCTAAAATTATTTTTTAACGTGACGTCTTCAGTCATGTGTCAATAACTATGGTTTCCCTGCAAGCCTACTGTACTCTTCTTTGGTATGATATTTGAGTTCATTTTAGAAAATGTTTCTGAAGTCACATTTAATTTACTTAATACA